TACTACTACTACTCTCTCTCTCTCTCTCTTCTTCTTCTCTCTCTCTCTCTCTCTCTCTCTCTCTCTCTCTCTCTCTCTCTCTCTCTCTCTCTCTCTCTCTCGTGTTTTCTCCCTTTTTTTATTTATTTTTATTTCTCTTTTTTGATAATAATTAAGAGCGTACTAATTGGGCGGTCGTGGAACGATCGCGTACCCGTCTGATTAATGCCCGATACTAAAAGCGTTCCGTGCCTAAAGAGTAGGTTTTATAGCTTCCTGGATTTCTTGCCGCGTTTTACGGAAGTGCCACGTTCGAACAATAAAGCCCGCCATATGCATTCCGCTCTGCTCTTCTATCCGGTTGATACACCTGCACCGCGAACGCTCTTTAATAACGCACGAGTTTTAATAAAATTCGTTCCATCGATTATCCAATTGACGTGTTGGACAAACGTTCTATCCAAATACACCAAAGTCTAAAAGTATATATCCAATAATTGCGAACTCGCGTTCATCTAATAGACTAATATCTAATGTAATGTAGCCACTGTACCAATGTATGGTAGTGTCCGATCTAATGGGATACATAATTTGTTTACAGATGCGCCAACGGTTATATCGGGCAGAGATGCGAGTTTAAGGATTTAGATGGTTCCTATTTACGTAAGTATTTCTCTCCGTTGTATTCCCGCACGCTCGTCTTATTCCATTCTGGAAGAACGTTTCTTATATACGCGTGTATATAGGCGGTGTCCATGCAGCCATTAAACGTCGAGCGTGTTATAACGCGCTCACGGTTACAATGTGTTCTATCTCTTTCTCCTTCCTCCTTCCTTTTAACCGTCCATTTTCTCGAAACGTGCGAGCGTTGCGGTTAGCAGAGGCGAAGAGGGGGCAGGAGAGGGTGCGCGCGCGACCGAAGAAAGTGACAACAAAGTTTTTTTTTCTCGTTACAGCCTCCAGGCAACGTGTAATGTTGGAGACAGCAAGCATCGCCGGCGGTGCCACGATAGCAGTATTCCTGGTCGTTATCATTTGCATAGCGGCTTACATCCACTGTAAGCGAAAGCAAAAGGAATTGCGGTCGAGGTGTGTGTAATTTGTGTGTAATCTGAAAAAATTTATTACACAACGATTTATCGAAAACGGTAATTGGTTGTAATATCGCGAAAAGCGAGATCCGATCTCTCGTTTCGTTCTCATTTTCGCGAACAATGTTGGACATTTTGATTAAAGCGTTAGGCAGAATCGGAAATTAATCTAACGAAGATGCAAAATTATAATCTAATTTGCAACCATTTTTCTTTTTTTGTCCTTCCTCTTCCTCGATCGTATTGAAACTCGACTGTCGAATCGAATGTCGTTCGAGTCAATGTTTTCATTCGAGCGAATGAATAACATTGTATATTATTATATAGTCGGGCAAATGGACGGAATTTCACATTCGACGATTTATTTCCATGCCAACAGTAACTGCGTCGACACGGTGGATGGTCCTGGCCGAGATCCGGAGTTGAGGCCGTTCAGCAACCGTAGCCGCTCCCTCATGATCTTCATGACCAAGAATCCCAATAGCTCGGTAAACGCAATACAATACGCTTATATCGATTTTTAATTGTAACGAAAAAATGTGGAGAGAATCACTTTGTTACGTACGCGATGTACTTTGAACACGATTCCCTTGATAATAGCCGTGTCACTCAAAGTACCAAATAATAATTTCTAATTTTCCAATCGTGTCTCTCGTTTATTGTTAAAACAATTCAATATATAAATATAATGTAAAAATAATGCAAGGTGAAGGATGATCTGGAATATCTGATAAACTTTCTCTCACCTTCACAAATGAATAAATTTTAGAAAAGTCTGTGGGAAACGGCACAGTGACCACAGATCTTTGAATCTTAAGTAAGCTTAAATATCATTACGTTGAACGAGAGGTTAGGGAAGTAAGAGTAGTATTTGTTGTTTGAATAATAATAATAATGCAATTTCTTCTATATCGACAGGCGGCTATAGAGCAGACGAGAATGCCCGGATGGAACTGTCCGGAAGCGGAATCAATGAGAATGGCGTCGATCAGCGAAGGGAAGCGTTCGAATCAATGATAAAAGGATACCCGGTGCCTGATAATTCCACGACACGGCGAACCGAGGCGTCCCCCACATTTCGTGGCTGGGCCCCCGTAGAGATCACCGACACCGACACGTCGTCGACACGGAAGGGGAAAAGAATCACTTTCACCTTCACCTCTGCTATCTGTCTCCGTCCATGGACCACGTTCTCGCGATTATTAGGCGGGCATTTAGAGTGGAAATACAGGCAGAGAAAAATGGAGGAAAATCCGTTGTGAACGCGACCACCAAACAGCAACACTCTTCCGCGAATTTTTTTTTCTTATTTAAGCGAGCCTTTGTCGTTTTCGAATCTATCCTGTTCTCTCTACCGAGAGAGAGGAAGAAGAAGAAGAAGAAAAAAGGAGAGGAAGAGAAGAAGAAGAAGAAGAAGAGAAGGAGGAGGAGGAGCCTCCTCCTCGTGTTCGTTTGCATCGGAGAAGGCCGATATATATATATATCGATATATAAGAAAAAGGAAGAAGAAAAAAAAAAAAAAAGAAACGATCTACTCGCTGTATAAATCGATACGTGGATCGGGATCCTCGGGATCGATGATCAGGGGAGGACAAGATAGATCTAGAAGAGCGTAGGATTAACTGAAAAAAAGAAGTACGTAACTTTAAATAGCTGGGCCTGAACAGCTGGAAGAACAAAGGACAAGAAAGTAGAAAAGAAGGGAAGCTTAAAAATAAAGCCTCTAACTACTACTGAATAGGTGACTCTCTTAATAGAAAGGGGAAAAAAGAAAGAGGTGTGAAGAGAGAAAGAGAGAGAGAGTGAGAGAGAGAGAAGAGAGAGAGAAGAGAGAGAGAAGAAGT